CAGTTCGGATCCCACATATGAGGGCCAGTGACACTGCCCTCTACAGCTAAGATGCTGAACAACAGCTCAACCTGGAGCTGGGCTGCGTGAGTCACTGGTGACGGTGTAGGCTGCAGCCCCTGTGGCAGTGGGTTGCCATGGGCTACTGTGTGTAGCCAGCAGCCAGCGTGAGCAGCCAGCAGCCGCAGTGAGTGGCCGTCCAGAAGCCGGCGACTGATCTGCCTCGCCCAGGAAGAGCGCAATGATGGTGCCAACTTGGGCCAGTGAAGCAACGTCCTCCACAACTAGACTGAAGAACAAAACAACAGCAACTTGTCTGTTCCCCTTCCCCTAATTCCCCAGCGCTGTTCCTATCCCTCCCCCCAATTCCCAAAGGGAAAAAAAAAAAAAGAAAACAAACATATGTACATTATGAAGAGAATACAAAATTCAAATGGATTTTAAAGAGAAAAGAAGAGACTACATGAGCATAGGGTGCTTTCTGGGAACTTTATAGTCACCTTGATGCTGAGGGGTTTGTCAGTAGCTTTCCTAGGATAGCTGGCACTTCAGTGGAAAAGTCTGAGAATCTCTGTGCCACGTCATTTTTTCCTTAATTTTCATTCACTTAATTATTATTTGAGGACCAGACAGTATGTCAGGTTGATGCCATGTAAAAGAGACAGTAATGGGAATATGGACAAAGCACTACAGTGAACACAGAAGGATCTTAACATCAGTTTAGGAAGAGTCGGGGCAAGCTTCCCAGGAGGTGGTATCTGAACTAACTTGGTAGACGAGGAGTCTGATGGTCAGGAAGAAATCGCCTGGCAATTTTTAGTTACCTATTGACTATTTGGATATTGTCTTTATGTCAAAAAAAGGAATTTCAGAGAGCAGTCGCTCAACATTATTGGAGCATCAAATATCGGGTTGTCAGAAAAGTCATGACGCATTTTTGCAACGAAAAACAGAGAAAAAATATGTCATGACTTTTCTGACAACCCAATACATGGGCAGATGAGAAGAAAGGGTGGGAAATGATAATACAATATATTTTATCGAGCATTTACATACCAGACACTGTATTAAATGCATTTAATCGAGAAAGGACTGTGAGCAAAGGCTGCACAAGGTCAGCTATGACTCTGGCATCATGAGAAGTCTGTGGAGGCTCATATGGTAGAAGACAGTATAGTCAGGAAAACACGGATTGAGATGGAAGGGAAAGTCAAGGACAGATCTAGGAGGCCCAAGGAGCCACATGACGAGCCCATTGGCAGCAGGTAGCCACTGGGGAGTTTCTGAGCAGCATGGTGAGCTTCGGAGGAGCCCACGTGACTCATCCAAGAGAAGAGAGGCTGCTGGGAAGGGCCTGTAAGCAAGATGAGCGCCCACAGTGTAGGTTCTTCCGTGGTCAGGCTGGAACAAAAGGCTGCACTTTGGGAAGCAGAGTACCAGGTGACTAAGAGCACAGGCTATGAACTCAGACAGATCCGGGTTCCAGCCTGACTTTTTAGAGCCTCTCCAGTTTACTCATCTAGATGGTGGGGATAAAATACCATTTAATTCACTTGACTGTTGTCAGATGTAGACAAGGTGACATAATGTGCATAAAGCATTCAAATAACAACGAAGATCACATCCTGTGCTTCAAATCTACTAAATCTATTAATGTCCTGCTCGCGATGCTGCACCTTAGTACAAGTCCCGTGTCATTCCTTTTAACATTCAGCAAATACCTACTGAGCACCAGCCACAAGTCAGACATGGACACTTCCTCCTCCGTGAGGTCGTCTCTGATGAGCCCAGCCTGAACCGCTGCCTTTTCTGAACTCCTTAACTCCCAACGGTTCTTGTCCCTACCCTTCATTTCAGTACTTATTCACACACAATTTTACATCAATGCTTCATGTGTTTTTCTCTCCCATAAAACTATTCATTGTAAGGGATAGAAAATCATGTCTTATTTCTTTGGTATTATCTCAATGAAGATCATACTTAGTAACAAAAGTAACTAAGAGGGTCCTTAGCTTTGGGTTTGCTCAAGAGCTCAATTCCCTAATCATCACAGCATAATGTATAATGTACACTACCCTGGTACAGTACTGGTTTTCAAACCATTTCTTAACAGCAAATCCTCTCAACAAATAAAACCAATATATAATATTGCTAAAAGCAGATGAGCTCTGATTAAAATGAGAGTGAGGCCTGAAGTACCAACCTGACGTCTTCTCCCAAGTGTCACCCCCTGGGGCACCCCCAAGGCATCCCTAATCTACCTGGAACTAGTTTGAAAGCCTGTGGGGTAGTAAGTAGAGCACTGTCAGGAGACCCCGACTCTGAAACTGACAAGGCTATCTAATTAATTTGACGCCTTCCCTCCACCTGCTCTCCAAAGGACCCTGAGTTATTACTCCCTAGACAGGCAAGTCCCAGGAAATGTCTTGAACACAGGGGAAAAAAAAATTTTTTTTTAACACAGGGAAAATTGTTTTTAAACCAGAGTTCCTGGACAACCCTCATACCAACAGTGCACAACTTGCTAGATCCACATTATTTTTCCTTTTTGTTTTAACGGGTGTCAAACTTCTGAAAGCAAAGCAGAGCTGATATAACGCCCGGAGCAATTAGATGAGAAGCTGGGACAAAGAGGTTATTCTAAGGGGCTTGTTAAAATTCTGTAAAGAACAGTCCTTACAGGATGCTTCCTTACATTTATCAAGTCAGAAATGACTGTACAAAAATTCTATCAACATTAGGACTCGTGTTTTTGCTGCTAAAATAAATCCAGACAAGAGCAATGGGCTTAGTGTAGGCACTTGAATCAGCAGTGAATTAGAATTTTTCAGATTCAGCACCAACATAAAGGAGTCAGTAGGCCTGAGATAAGTGAAAACAGAAGTTGCCATAGTAACTTGCACATTTACCCTAAAAAGGCAGGAATGGGGGTGGGGTGAGAAAGTAGGTCAATATTTCTGCTTAACTAGCTCTAGTTCTTGGCTTCCGCTCCTCACTAAAGCAGCATCCGCCTCCCTCCCCACCCCCAACAGGAGCACGAGGGAAAGTCAGGTGATAGTCACTCCTTCAAAAAGCAAGGGCTGGGGAGAGGTCCAGGTAGAGGGAAGGAGAACCAAAAGGACAGCCCACTAAAAGCCTCACGAGTGCCCTGGGACCACCCCTAGGAAAGCAGTTGCTGGTGAAGGGCACCAGTGCTAAGAAACTGTTGCTGGGTTACCACAAATCAGAAACTGCCATTTTCCCTGTAGCCGTTTAAGTGCACCTAATGGAACACTTGGGAATGCATTATTAACAGCTTTGGGATGGGGTCGCGGTGGGGAGAGATGAGTATGCTGGCATGGGAGAAACCTGAGGCCCTTAGCGAGAGGCATTCTTTGACGGTTGAAACCATGAACAGGGCTCAAGAATGGCCTAAAAGAGAAAGGGAGGGAGGGAGGCTTAGAGGGCTCCTTTTCAAAATAAGCTGATTTTGCTAACACAGAAACATAATGCCCTCTGATACTCTGAACTGAAAAAGCTACTAACCCAAGAGGGCCAGGGCGACTCTGGTCTATGAGACGGCATGGAGGGTGCCGGCGCTCATTATCAGCTCTTCCACCTGCGGTGCCAACAAATATGGGCAGCGGGTAAACAGAAAGCCCTTGGAAACTCCTTTTCTGCAGCTGTTAGTGTCTGCAAAGAATAACCCAGGGCGTTACTGATGATTTTAACCATCAGTGTGAGAGCCCTGGTATTCTAGAAGATGACAAACAGGAGGGAGGCAAAAAAAAGCAGAAACATTTTTTGAAAGCAGTGAACATTTCACCCTCTAACCTTTAGACAGCCCACAGCATTCACTGTACAGAGGTGGGTCTAGGTGAGCGATGCCACTCAAACTTGACTGGAAAACTTACTCAACCCAGCAGGACACCTAGTTGCAGAATACAGCAAGGACAGGCTGTTTCAAATTTGGGCTCATGTACTCAGAATTACCTGCAAATTGTCCTGTTGTACTTCTGCACATGTCTCTACTCCTCTGCCCTATGAGAGGAGGGAAAGAGGCTCATACACAGCAACATTTAAGATGACTGTAGAGCTCATGGGTGGCCCAGATCTTGGGAGAGGAGCACCGAGAATAAGTCTACCATATACAGAGACCTGAAGGACCAGGTACTAGGCCTCCATCAATCCTATGGGCAGAAAGAGCACAGGCCGAGCAACGTGTGCAGAAACTCCAGGCGGGAAGCTCCAGGCAACAATAAGTTAATCACTCCTGGGGAATGAATGGATGCTATCCTATTGCAACCTCTCGGTACAGCCCAGAAAATTTATTCAGTCTCACCAGTTCATAAGCATTTTTCCTTTACGTACAGCAGCAGAGGGGACAAGGAGAAGTTTGTGGAATAAACTATTTTCTAAAACATTCTATTACAGAAAATGTTTGAGCTCAAGCATACACAAAGTAGAGAGAATGGATAATGACCTATTATCACCCATCTTCAAAACTGATCAATATTCTAGAGCTAATCTGAAAGCCAAGATAGGGATCATTCTAGTGAAAGGTTCTAAGTATTACACATCGAAAGTCTGCAACCCCAAATGGCCATTTCTATATTCACCCAGGAACCCTAGGAGACAGCTACTCTAGGAAAGCCACAGTAGCAATGGAAAATAAACAGACTTCCATTTCAATTCTTGAGGAATGTCCAACAGAATAATTATACCCACAAGGTGTTTCCACAAGTCACATTATCTGAATTTTTAATTCCTAAAAGATGCATTTCCAATTCATTTATGTTTGCTAAGCAAGAATCAACCGCGTTGCACCAACCCACGAGAAAGGCTCCACGGTCATCACAGTCAGCCTTCCAGGGCTGTGTCGTTACAACCACTTTCATTCTGACATAAACATTTGGGACAAACATCAGGGTAGCAGGACGGTACTGATTCAGTTTACTTATGACCTATTAAAACCCACCACGTGCTGGCATTTGGAGAAGCAGAGCAAGGTCTCTACTTACTGGTACTGTTACATCATCATAAAAGCTCCAAGCTAAGGCCCATCTCATTGTTCGACCTTGACAGAATTCAGTGTAGGTGACTTTAGGAACCTGAAACCAACAAACATAGCATCTCATCAGATTGAAGTCATTCTACCAATATGTTTATGGCTGCTGCCTCATGTGAAATCATTGGTGTTGCTCTTTCTTTTTATCAGTTAACAAATACTACTATCCAACAACAGTTACACGTAGCTGCCTAATAATGAATAAATTATCTCGTGACAAAGTTGTGCTTTCTTCCCCCTCCCATAAAACATTTGAGAGAATTTAAAGTTCTGGCTTGGAAGTGCAAATATATTAAACACAAAACACAGCTCTTCAGGGAATCACTGGTAAAATGATTCAAATGGTTTTCTGGTTTCCTTTTTTAAGAAAGAGAGCCACCAAAGGCTGGCTAGACAGAGCTATGTAGTCTCCCTTTCCTCTATCATTTTGGGAAAGAAAATGAAACTGCTTTATAATCGTTACAATTTTTACAATGAAAAGGTATGGTAGGAAAAATAGGATGGGCAGAGTGTCAGAGAGTAATCAGAAATCAGGAACTTGGTTTCTACCACTGACTCCGCATCTGGTCTCTTTCTCTGAAAAGTCATCCTGCTCAAGCTTACTCAAGCCAAAACGCCATAAACTGGTAGGGGAGACGGAGGGGAGTATTTATTCATCACCTGCTTTTCAAAACAGAAGCAAGGGGCTAGTTGCGCCATAGTGGGAAGCACACTGGACTAAGGATCATCTGGTTCTAGCTGCTATTAGATAACTAGACTCGTGACGCGGAACAAGCCCCTTAATTTATACAGCCTTGAGTTTCTGCAATTATAAAGGAGTCAGGTGCGGTGTCAGTGGTAGGTCGACACCAGGTTTTCGGATTTCTGGGTTCTCGCTGATATTCTACTGTTTTCCCAACTTTTCTTTGTTTTAAGTAATTGTCAAAGAAGGCCTTATTTGAATAATTTGTAAAAAGGTTCAAGCAAAAATAAAACAACAACAAAAATCCACTTAGAGTTTTAAGGTATAAAGGAAAATTCTACCATCGAAAGTAGATACACAAGAATAATAACGACAAAGGCTTTTACCCCTTGGATGCGAAGTTCTTCCTTCAGAGGAGCAAGGCTGCATTTCTTTCCCAGCATACAGCTGTACCACCTAGGAAAAACAATCAGACGAGCAAAATACTGATTATGTGGGGACATTTTTACATTAAGCATTACTTAAGTAAACAAGAAGAGAACAGAAGCAAACAAATGCTGAGTTAAGTTACAAGTGACAATAACAAAAATTGTATATAACGTATTTAGACAAAAAATAAATTTAGCAAACAAAAACAAGCCCAAAGGAACTTAAAAAAACAAAAACCCACTAAGCCTCTCCAATGATTCAGTGCCGTTATACATTTGGAAAGGGGGTGACAGAGAAAAGTCTCACTTGTGATGCTCAGAATACAGGTCACTTATTCTTAGGGCAGAAATTAGTTAACAAATAACAATAAAAACAAGTATACCTGAAACTAATATAATGTTGCATTTCAACTACACCTCAGTTAAAAAACAAAAAACCCTAAAAAACATGTATTGTATAAACACCCTCCCTCACCATATTAAGAGAAACTATAAAATCTAGAAGGAACCTGTATTTTAAGATGCCCTCACCTGCAAATAATTTAAGGCTATTACATTAGTTTCAACAGAATATGAAATCAATTTCTTCTATAATAAATACAAATCCAGAAAAGGGAGTGTAGAGAAGATGGAATGAACTAGCTAAAAAGATAAAAAGACAAAATTTATTTCTTCCGATTATTCTAAAACATTTGTGAAGTATACAATTTATATGGGATTTCTCTTTAGCCAATGAAAGATTAACTACTATGGGAATTACTCTTCCACCATAAACAACTAGGAAACCGACAAAACATATGAAACAATTGTTTCCCAGACATTGGACAACTGCAGTGAAGACCTCTAATGTCAGAGAGAGAGAGAAACTACGTGAGTCCTGTAACTGCCAGAGCTTATTGCTGAAGGAAATTTCCAGGCTGCAATGTAGGGAAAGAAAACTCAAACAGAGCCCAATAATTTTGCTGAATTGATGAGGTAGAAACTGGAATTCAGAGAGGCTGAGGCAGTAAGCCTTTGAATAGCAAAATACAAGGAGCTGCATAAAGAGATAATTCTGAGCATCTGCAGAGGAGTTCCCTGGAATATTTTGCAGAATAATGATCTGCACATGTGGGGTGGAACTCCATGGGGCCACGGAAAGAACTCACTCCCAGAAAGCAGCAAGCTGAACAATTCCTGGAGTCCAGACAGAGCCAGAACTAGTCTGTGGTCCTACTAGTGAGAGCAGAAGGCCCTTGTCAATAAAAGGGGTATCTAGTAAGAGAGTTCAGGACAGAATACTACTTTGTAACAGGGCTAGAGGCTATTCTAACATGTACCCTAATGAAGCTTAAAAGCAAGACTCAAAAAATCAAACTGATCACAAGTAACTTAAGAAAGCATCAGAACAAAGTCCAACACTCTTTTAAAGCAATACAGTGAAACACATCACCTCAAAACATAATACCTGCAATGTCTATCATCGAATAAAAAATTACCAGACATTAAAAGCAGGAAAATGACTCATAACCAGGATTTAAAAAAACAAAACACCAATCATTAGAAACAGGCCAATACTTATTTCACTTAGCATAATACCCTCTAGCTCCACCTATGTTGTTGCAAATGGCGAGATTTTGTTCTTTTTTATGGCTGAGTAATATTCCACGGTATATATACCACTTCCGTAGTTAGAATATCAAAGACATGCTCAGGCTGGGTCCTTTGCCATCTCTAAGAATTGGCTAGCACAGGAAGGGGCAGTATCTCCATCCAGAAATATTTTCAAAGTGTCAAAACATCATAATACACAGAAAATTAAAAACATTTATAAGACAAAGCCAAACACAAAAATCTACATTCTGCATGATACCATTTATATGAAAGTCTAGAACAGGCAAAACTATTTGACAGTATCATCAGTGGTCACTGGAGGATGCGATAGGGTGGGGACAGGCTGCACAGGGGCACCAGGGAACTTTTTAGGGTGGTGGAAATGTCCTGTATCTTGACTGTGGGGGGTGGTTATATACACATTTGTCAAAACTCATCAAATCATATACTTAAAATTGGAGAATTTTACTGTATGCAAGTTATACCTCAATAAAACTGATTTAATATATAAATTTCCAGATGCGATGTATCTTATACCTTCAAATAAAAAGAATAGTTAACAAATGTTTTGCACATTTCTTTCTTGTTTATAACATAGCTTAGTTACACTAGCAATACATACTCTGTATCCTGTGGTTTTCAACAAGCATCACACAGTTACTCCTAGGTCGTTTGACATCCACCTAATTGCGTGTTATTATTATTGTTATTTTTAAAAGATTTTATTGGGGAATCAGGGAGGGGGAACAGACAAGTTGCTGTCCTTTTGTTCTTCAATCTAGTTGTGGAGGACTTTGCTTCACTGGCCCATGTTGGTATTATCACTGCGCTCTTCCCGGGTGAGGCAATCGCTCGCCGGCCATTGGACAGCCGCTCACCGCAGCTCACGAAAGCTTACGCCAGCTGCCGGCCAGCCCCACCGTGGCCTACGCCGTTACCAGTGACTTACTGCAGCCCAGCTCCAGGTCGAACTGTTGTTCACCATCTTAGCTGTAGAGGGCGCAGTGTCACTGGCCCCCATGTGGGATCTGAACCAGGGCCTCCTGCTCAGAGCTGGCATCCCAAGCCAACTCCTAACCAATGTGCCACTCGGCCGGCCCTGCATGTTATTTTTAAAGAGAAATTTCAGATTAAGGAGATGTGTATTCAATATTTATTTGTTTATATACAAAACAGCTCCTATGAAGGTGAATTTTAAAGTGACTAAAATTTTAAGTAACTTTAGGAGACTCTAAAGTCACATATTAGGCTAAAACTACATAAAACTGCCATTTTTATCAGTTGAAAACTGTTAAAGATTGTCAATGTCATATGGTTCAACCTAACACATTAAATAAAGTATTAATTGTACAAGTATGACCAATACTATTACATTGCTTTAGAAATAGTGTGCATTGAGGGCTGGCCGAGTGGCTCAGTTGGTTAAGAGCTCGCTCAAGAGTTTGAGCTCTGAGCAACAGGGTCCCCGGTTTGATTCACGGCCTGAGCTGAGCTGCCGCTGAGCTGCCAACAGGTGGCAGGATGGCTCAGCTAAAAAAAAAAAAATTTTTTTTTAAATAGTGTGCATTAACCAATATTTTGTTATCGTTGTTTGTGGATTCAACAACATTTGACTGCCCCTATTTTGTTTAGTCAATCCTGTTTTCCTTTGAAAATACAAAGAAATAATTGTTCTACCTAAACCACTTTAAAGAAACCTGGGTAAATTTACTTGGAGCATAATCAGTTTCATTTGGTGGTTTTAAAATGTTCGGAAGAAAAAGAATATGATCTGTTTAAAAAGATAGTATATAAATGGAGAAACCAGGAATTAAAAGTCTTTGGTATGTTAGGAACAAGATGAAGAAAAAGAAATTAAGACTAATTGGTGCTCACATAGTAACAGTATAAAATAGGTTAACACCTTTCCTTTAAAATTAGCGTTCCTGAACAGATTAGATCAGTCAGCAGAAACCAAGAAATGGCCCAAAACAGAGACAAAAGATACTATAAATTTCCTCAGGCAATGAGGGAAAGCAAATATTTAATAAGTAAGGCTTCTAATAGTTAAATGTCATTGGTACTTTATGCTCATATTTCTTTAAACCCTTGCTATAAGGTGAATCTTTTTAAGGTTTAATCTCATCAATATATTTACTATTTTTTGCAACAGTTATGCTTCTTACAGAAAAACCATAAGTAACTGGGTGTATTAAAAATTCTGTGTTAACTTCACTTAAAAAAAATTGCCTACCCAATAGATCCTAGTTACTCTCAACAGGCATCTTGTGACAACTAATCAAAATCCAAGGAGAAAAAAAAAATGAAAAGGAAGCTCTAGCTACCCAAGAGACTCTGAACCCATTATACTATTTTAATGATGAAAGAAAGCAGCACTCTACTCATTACAGCATTTAGCAATTCCTCTAAAACAGGTTTCAAGAAAAAGAATTCTGAAATAATTTCAAATGTACAGGAGTTGCAAGATTAGTACAAATGATTGTGGTATACTCCTCACCCAGATTCACCAATTGCTCCATTTCCTCGCTCTATGTGTTTGTGGTTTTTTCTAAACCATTTGAGAGTTAGATACAGACATCATCATGCCCTTTTAACCCTAAATATTTTGACATGTATGTTTCAAAAATATGGGCATTCTCTTTCATAACCACAGAACAGTGATCATATTGAGAAAATTTAACACCCATACAATATTATTACTGGAATACAGTTCATATCCAAATTTCACCAATTATCCCAATAATGTCTTTCATGACAATTTTTCTCCCTTGATGCAAGATCCAATCTAGGATCATTTACGTGTCAAGTCTCTTTAGTCTCTCAATCTGGAACAGTTCTTAGGTCTTTTTTTACTTTCGTGACCTTAATATTTTTGAAGGATAGTCTGACAAAATCCCTAAAGGTGGTGTGTCTGTAGTTGCCTCATAGTTAAGATTCAGGTTATCGCTTTGGGCATGAAGAGCAGAGAGGTGCTGTTGTGACCTTCTAGGGGCCTCGAATCAGGAGGTGATCACCTGGTCAAAGTGGTATCCCCCAAGTTTCTCCACTGTAAAGTTACCCTATTTCTCTTTGTAATTATAAGTCATCTGTGGGAAGATACTTTGAAACGATGTAAAGGCCCTGTTTCTCTTCAAATTTTCCACTGTTAATTCTTCCACAAATCAACTATTACTATAATGAGTGCAAAACGATGTTTTTTTTTTCTAACTTCATTATTCTTTATACACTTAGTTGGCATTCTACTATAACGAAGAACACCTCCTCTATCCCCCTAATGTATTTCACTTGCTTATTTTATTCAGTGGGTTGTAAACCATTATTGTCATTATTCATTCTGAACTTATACTACCCTATATATGACTTGAGTTGGCTCCTATGTTCTTTGGATATTGAATACTGTAAATGGTATTAATCCAATCTTATAGACAAGGAAAATGAAGCAGCTTATCCTTTTAGAAAGGCAAGTCAAATTCATAGAACTGGACAGTCTTTCAGCTAGAGAATTAACTAAAAGCTCAGCTGCAATTGTTCTTTGCAACTATTACTTCTAGTACCCCATAACTACACTAGTACCTAGTTTAAAAAAAAACAGTTCGAGTCCAGCCTGAGCTGAGTAGCCACTGAGCTGCCAACAGGTAGCAGGATGGCTCAGCTAAAAAAAAATAAACAAACAAAAGGGAGGGGAAGCTCTACATTAATATGAAATAACAAATTCCTGTAACATTTCCTTTCAACACCATGGACCTTAGCACTTAAATCTACTGGATTCCCCAAAAACGTCAAGAGTTAAGATGATCCTATTTAATATTATTATTATTAATTACATCAAATATACACTCATTTAATTCTATGACTATCCTATGAGGTAGCTATTGTTATCCTATTTTACCAATGAGATTCACCAAGTTTTAAACAAAATTTAAGTCAAAGAATCATATTTCAAAAAGCCCAGATTACTAAATTTATTGTCCATCATAATTACGTGGATTACACCTCAATCTAAGAAGTATCCATCATCTGGCAGGGGGTAGAGAATGGAAAGTAAAACACAAAAAGAGGGAGAATGGGTGAAACCAGTACTAAGTGGGAACTCTGTTAGATACAGATCTCTAGTACCCAGAAAAATCATAAAATCACTTCCATAAAGGGCATCAGCTATAGACATACTAACCACTGACAAGAGTGGAATCTAGGCCATGAGGAGTTTGATAAAGTCTGCTAATTTATTTAGAAGGTTAGGCGAGTGAGTCTCTAAAAACGAAAATGATATTAAGTAAGCTCAAATCACAGGTACAAAAAGTGAACGGTAAGAATGACAAGCACTTGCAAATTTTCATCAATGATAGAATGGCTGTCTAATAATGTTATATGTCAATTATAGCTCAATTAAAAAAAAAGTTGTCTAATGAAGTCCTATTGCAGGCTGGGCTGCTGAGGCTGCACAGGGTGGTAGAAAGAGCACTGGACCAGAACCAGGAGATGTTGGTCCCAAGTCTCTAATCTGTACAACTAAGAGGCTGCACAATGACCCCCACCAACGCCTCCCAGCTGCAAAACTCCTTAAGATACAAAACTGCAGCTGCTACAGGTGAGGCATCTTGGGTGCCATCACTGGAAGCAGTCTAACAAACTGAACTTATTTCACCATATAATGTTACAAATTTTGCTTCGTTTCCACACTTCTCCAGGAACAAGAAAAAAAATCTAGAGGGATAAGAAGCAGATGGATTAAAATACTTGTTTTTAATCCCTTATTTTTTGGAGCTTCAAAATATAGTTTCCACAGCATGCTAAAATTTGAGAATTGCACAGTGGTAAAAATATTATGTCAACTACACAATTATGCAGGAGGACATGAACAGGTAATATGTACAAATGAAAGTGGTCACAGTATGATGTGAAATTGTAAACAATATTTGCAAGTAATACTCTTTCAAAAAACATGCTTTATTCTAGTTTCAATAAAAATCACTTCATTTCTACCCTTTCTTTTATTGTCCCTCTCAACTTGCTTGAGTCCTAACACAGCAGACAAGACTACTGAAGCCTGTTTTTAAATACATCATTAACGAGGTAGGTAAGGTTGACACCAACCTTAAAATAGTCAACTCTCAAGAAACATGACAGGCTCTAGCAATTTATCATTCCTAGCAAACATATACCTTTCATTCAGTTTGGGGGCTGCCACAGAGCCAGGTACAGGCAGACTTGGAAAATACTGATCAATTTCTCTTTCTTAGATGGTGTTCCTTTAAAACATATTTTTGTAGTTCCAATGGGACTTTGGAAATAATAGAAATTTACTGTTAAATGCCTCTGGAAAACAACCTTCCCCATTCTCCTGGTTAGCTCCAGTCCCCTAAAAAGCTGACAGATGCTGAAATGGTCACATGGCCCTGGTTACCTCTTTTCATGAGTTTCAGGCTCTGCTACCTTCTTTAAGTTCATTGTACTTACTCAGATTCTTCTCAGTGCTCAGCATAACTAAATCTCATTCTTCTTCATACCTTAATGTATCTTTGAAGGAATCAATTTAAAGCAAACATTTATTAATCTTTTGGCTTCAACAATGTGTAAATTTTCTAAGACAGACCATCCAACAATCCAGTTGCTTTCCACAAATATTTAAATAAACTCACACTTAACAAATTAGGATATTTGTTGATTTTGGAATTGGCTTTTTTCTAAAAGCTGCAGCTTTAAACACCTATAAAATCTAAAAAAAAAAAAAAAGAAAGAAAAAGAGTCTTCCCTATTCAGCAATTCTGCTTCTGGGAATATATCCAAAAGAACTGAAAGCAGGGTCTTAGGAGATATTTGCACACCCGTGTTCATAGCAACATTATCCACAATAGCCAAAAGGTGGAAGCCACCCAAGTGTCCATCAACAGATGAATGGGATAAACAAAATGTGGTGCAGTCATACAATGGGATAGTCTTCAGCCTTAAACAGGAAATTGTGGCACACACTATAACATGGATGAACATTGAGAACATAATGCTAAGTGAAAGAAGCCAGGCACAAAAGGACAAAAACCATTATGGTTCCACTTACATGAGGTACCCAGATTAGTCGAATTCTTTGAGAAAAAAAGTAGAATGGTGGTTGCCAGGGGTTGGGGGGAGAGGGGTATGGGAAGTTGTTCCGTACACATTAAAAATGGATAAGATGGTAAATTTTGTTATGAGTATTTTAGCACAATTTTAAAAAATCTTCTCTATGTCCCAAAGCTAAATCGTACGGTTGAAAGCCCCTTTTAGTTTTGAACTACCGCATTATCCATCATTTGAACTACACTTGGCAGGGTGAGAAGTCAAGCAAGACAAATAGCTCTTTTTGAGTACCTTATGCTGCTTAATAATAGGTGTGTTGTCCAAAATAATTAGCTTTTAAAAAGGAACAGACTTAACTCTCCTCTGGCACTGGTTAGTGATCTCAGTTTCCCTTCATTAAGTTCTTGACAGCTCAATGTCCTCACATCTGTCATTGTTTGGGATACTGATGCCAAGAACATAAATTGCTTCAAGGACTAGGCAACAAATTTATTCTGGTTCATGGGACAGATCTGAACCCATCTGTTTTCTAATCAAAAGCCATATTTGAATCAGTTTTGTTCCATCACAGTACCGAAATGAAGACAATACGATCATATGGTATTTTCCTCCTTTCTTTCCATGTAGTCTAGATTACAGGAAATGCAAATAAATTAAAGGCATGAGAGCATCCTCAGAAACAGGGTCTTTACAGACGGCTACCTTTTCAGTTTTTATGTGTTTATTCTTTAGACCACTGTGATTACATGTACTCTAAGTGACATGGTTTTTTTCAGAATTACACAGAGGGAAAATACTCCATATTGTAATAACCAACTTACCTTAATCTTTTTTTAAGTTGTAAACTGTCATGGATAATTCTTTTAACAAACTCTAATTCACCTCCTTCTGCCATGATCTCTGTGATACCTCCTGTGTTTACAGAACTAGGTGGAGGTCTTCGAGGATTTCGAGAATTTACTCCCTGAACAACAACAAAAAAAACCGTGGTGAAACATTTTTACACCTGAAGACCAAGTCTTCCACTACAATTGAGTTCTAAGTAAGAATGCTTAGACGTAATTTTAGTTTCCAAATATCATGCTAGATTTAGGATTTAAAAATCAAATAATCATTGCAATATTACATTTTAAACCACCACCTTCCCAGGGTCTTTTACCTTCCAAGTTTGTTTGTGATAAAACATACAAAAATTTTCTGAAACTTTTTCTTTATGTTTTGTCTTGGTATCATGCACAGAAAATACTCCACCCAAAGATTTATATAAATATTTACTTGTGTTTTCTTCTAGTACTTTCATAGCTTTACCTTTTAAATTTAAATATTTAATCCAGTCCTACCTCACACCATATGAAAAAAATAACTCAAATGGATCAAGATCTAAATATAAAAGCTAAAACTATAAAGGTCTTAGAAGAAAACATAGGAGTACATCTTCATGACCTTGGATTAGACAATACTTTCCTAAATATGACACCAAAAGCATAAACAACAAAAGAACAAATAGATAAATTAGACTGCCTCGAAATTAAAAAACTTTTGAGCTGCAAAGGACATCATCAAGAATGTGAAAAGACAACTCAGAGAATGAGAGAAAATGTTTGCAAATAATACATCTAATAAGGGACTTGTATCTAGAATACACAAAAAATCCTTACAATAATAATAAAAAGAAAAATAACCCAATCTTTAAATGGGCAAAGGATTTAAATAGGCATTTCTCCAAAGAAGAATTACAAATGACCAAAAAGCACATGAAAAGATTTTCACATCATTAGCCATCAGAGAAATGCATATCAAAACTATAGTGCGATACCACTTTATATCCATTAGGATGGCTATAGTCAAGAAGATAGATGATAAGTGTTGACAAGGATGTGGAGAAACTGGAACCTTCATACGAGTACACGGCTGGTGGAGGAATGAAAAATGGTGCAGCCATTTTGGAAAATGGACTGGTAAAACACTGAGTTATCATATGACCTAGTAATTCCACTCGTAGGTATGTATCTAAAAGAAATAAAAACAGGTCCACACAAACACTTGTACATGAGTGCTCACAGCAGCATCTCCAAAAAGTGGAAACAACCCAAATGTCCATCAACTAATGAATGGATAAGTAAAATGTGATTATTTCCATACAACAGAAAATTATTCAGAAATAAAAAGAAATGAAGTACTGATAGATGGTACAATATGGATGGACCTTGAAAATACATTACTTAGTGAAAGACCTTGTATTATATAATTCCACTTATATGAAATGTCCAAAACAGGCAAATCCATAGAAACAGAAAGTAGACTCATGGTTCCCTAGGACAAAGGGGGCTATAGAGAAATTAAGAGTAACTGCTAATGGGCATGTGGTTTTTTTTTGGGGGGGGGGAGGAGAGCGGTGATGAAAATGTTCTAAAATTGTGGTGGTGGCTGCACAACTCTGTCAATTTACTAAAAATGATTCTACCTTTTAAGTGGATGAACTGTATGGTATGTGAATTATATCTCAATAAAGCTGTTACAAAAAGATACTTAGTTCTAATGCTAGTAATACTGTATTTCTTCATCTGGATGCTGGCTCCACAGGTGTGTTCACTTTGGAAAATCCATAGTTTATATTTACGGCATTATGGCATGTGTACTTTTATATATCTCAATGTTGAAAAAAACAACAAAAAAACTCCAGAATGTGACTGTTTTGTTTTAGTTCTTATAATTTATCTGCATTGAAGGCTAAAATTTAGATTTTTTTTTTTTAAAGATTTTATTGGGGAATTGGGGGAGGGAACAGCATTGGGGAATCGGGGAAGGGGAACAGACAAGTTGCTATCCTTTTGTTCTTCAGTCTAGTTGTGGAGGACGTTGCTTCACTGGCCCATGTTGGTACTGCGATCATTGCATTCTTCCCGGGTGAGGCAGTCGATTGCTGGTCATTGGACGGCTGCTCACAGCGGCTCACGGCAGCTCACACTGGCTGCCGGCCACGCACAGTAGCTCACGGCAGCCCACTGCAGCAGGGGCTGCAGCCTACGCCGTTGCCGGTGACTCACCGGAGTCCAGCTCCAGGTTGAGCTGTTGTTCACCATCTTAGCTATAGAGGGTGCAGCGTCACTGGCCCTCATGTGGGATCCGAGCCGGGGCCCTGCTGCTCAGAGCTAGCACCCCAAGCCAGCTCTTAACCAATGTGCCACTCAGCCGGCCCTAGATTTCTTAATCTACTTTACATTCCAATCTAGAACATTGGTATTGCTAATAAATTTCTGTCCAACTTGCTCTTCTTAAATAAAAAAAAAATTTAATCCATCTGGGATTTATTTTGTTAAGAGGTATGTAAATGGTACTTTTAGGGCATATAAGGGATTCTAAAAACAATTTATTCTTTCAAAGCTTTATGCATACACACCCCCTCATTTCCTTCTGATAAATATTACTCACTTTCTATTAATAGGGAATTAACTACATAAAGGAAAACTTGGTTTAAATCAATATTTTATAGCATTGACTTTTTTAATAGTTTATTGTTTTTATCCAATGTATATCTCTTTCCATATTCATAAGCAAATATATTTTTCATTTCAAGTTGGGAAGACTAAATCAGACATGTTTACTATCAAATGATAGATGGCAGTAAAAACAGTGACCTTCCTCCCTAAGCCAATAAGCCCAATGCAGAAGCAGACTGTGACCTAAGTTGGTCCCATCAGAGGAAACCCAAATGTTTAATGGTTTGGGGAGGAAAAGAGCTCTCTCCTCATCCTCTCCCCCTCCCCAATATTACTCTGGCACAAGAAAACCAGCCCGAGAACGAAAACAACCAAGGGCCAGGTCAGAGCCAAGAGAAACCTGAAAAAAAAAAAAAAAGCCTCAGCTTTGAACTACTATGAACTCCTTGATCAAACTGTTTCTGAAGTCCACACTACTACTGGATTTCTCAGCTAGATAAGCCAACAAGCTTTCTTGTTAAGTCAGTCTGAATTGGGTTTTCAGGTGCTTGATACCAAAAGCATCCTAATTGATACAGCTTCCAATATAAAAGTTGCTCTTTGCTTTTACTTTTGCAAACATGGTGAAATTAGATAAATACTCATTTACTTTAAAGCAGAAGATATCTTACCTTGGCTTCCAATTGATTGGCAAAAAAGGGAGGATTGCACATGCAAAAGTCATAGATTATCTCAGATTCTTCTTTAAGAGCATCCATCAGGAGCGTCTTCTGTGGTACTTTTACCACTGGGAGAAAAAACACAATTGTTAACTAATATTAATGCTGTGGCAGTTTTCAAATATGTCCAAATTCTTTGACACTAGTCCCCTCAAAAAGTGGAGTTTGATGTCCCTCCCCTTAAGTATAGGCTGCACTCACTGACTGCTTTATAGGACAGAAGATGATGAAGTGTGACAGGGTGTAACTTCTGAGGTCATAAGAAGCAATATGGCTTCCTCCTTGTCCTACCTCTTGAATTACTTGGTCTAGGAGAAGCCAGCTGACATGCTGTAAGGGATGGTCAAGTACCCCTTAGAAGAGATCCACATGGCAACGAACGAAGGCTTCCTGCCAATAGCCATGTAAGGGAGCTATCTTGGAAGCAAATCTTCCAGTCAGTTCTTCAGATAATGGCAGCCTCAGGAAAGACTCTGAGCCAGAACCACCCAGCTAGGCTACGCTCAAATTCCTGACCCACTGAGACTCCTACATAATAAATGTTTATTGTTTAAAGCTGCTAGATTTCGGAGAAATTTGTTAATACAGGAATGGATAACTAAAAAAGAAAAAATGCATTAACAATTTTAGTATCTCTCCTTATAATGATATGTTTGACACTAGTAAGAAAAGCCTATTTCTTCCATAAAGAAACATGAAGTCTCTTTAATAATAAAAAAAATAATAAGCATAAAAATAAAGTAACTGATCATTAAGGAAATTTGAGTATTTGTAGCACAATTCCAAGTACCGAAATAAAAAAGGAGGTAAAGTTTAATCAACAGTAAGTAGGATTTTCTTCCTTTTAAAATCTTGGTGACTAGGTTACTTCTAATACAGTTGATTCTCATTATTCGCAGCATTTGAACATATATTTGTGTTCTATAAAGTCATCACAATCACTGAATTAGTGAATACTGAACCAGTGGCTCCAAGGACACATACAGGGCTAGGTAACTGCGAGCCTCTGGTTCAACATTTTTGCCAACTCATCACTATATAACCTTATTTTATGTACGTTTCTGTTTAAAGACGCCTCATTTAGTACATATTGCTGATTCATTAACACTGAACTCACAGTCAACAATACAGTACTCTAACTCAGGTCTGAATGAAGCTTATCTCACACATGCATTTTCTCTCTAAGGCATATCACAGCCTTCCTGAACTTAGGAACGCTGGACAGCACTTAAGTTTAGGGACCATTTTGAACAGCAAAATCACCAAGAAAAAACAAAAATGAAAAAAAAAAAAAGGTACTAAATAGACCATGAAAAGAACACTTGTTTATAGCACGAGAGTTGAAAGAAGAAGGCAAAGCACTGCCTTGTTCATCTTCAGCTGGGAACATGCACAGCGGGTGACTCTGCATGTGTCTGTGGATGACCACAAAAGTACCATGAGTATTGATTTGGGGCTTAAAAATCAATAACCCCAAGTAGGCAAATCCACAAATACAGAATCCATGAATTATGAGGATCTACTCTATTTACACTATTTCTTTCTGAATTAATTCTGATAACAAAACAGCAAACTCAGTTACAATGTACCAGATTTTTAAAAAAATTACCAAAGTTTGTATATTAAAGGAAAAGATAATGAGATGTGTTACATTAGACAGACAGGTTAATAAAGCTTAAAAGAGTTATTTATTCTGTAGAGCTAACCTTTTATAAGATCAGATAAGTTATTCTGTTCCACATTTTTCTTTGCATAGTTGAAGCACATATCATCTACTTCTGTTGCAAGGAAATACCAGCCATTTAAGGTACTTCCAAGTAAAGGATAGATGCAGGATGCCCCAGTACCTAGTAAAATGAAAATTTAAAACATATTGCACATGCCTAAGGAAGAGGTGAGAATAATAAGCAAAAACACCATTCTTCTCTTAGAATGTTTAAACCACAAGCTGGTGCCTGATTATATACATACTGTGGCTACTGTGTTCTCTAGTCTTTTCATATGTTTTAATCTTACCTCATAATTATATTCAAATTTCCTAGAGGATATAAATCATGCTGTCCTCTTCTTTTGTATGTTGTATGTAAAATGAAATGCGCATAATTGGCTGGTGATCAAGGAATAATACATGACTGATTAACTGAAAATTGTGAAAACATTTTGTTTTATAAAAAGTCTTCATTTTAAATCTCACACAAAACTTGATTTTCCTAAAAGAAATCAATGCTATTTGTTAAAACACCACAGTGATATCTTAAAGTAGATCAATGGACATCCAGTCTCCAAAAGTAGGGAAAAAAAAAAGGTACAAAATATTTCTGATATCATAAAAACATCACAAAAACCACCCAATTCCCAACATATCTATAAGCTGTTACTTGAAGAAAACCAGAAATAAAAACATTTTTTAAACTAAAGAGGGAATTCATTTCTTAGATGTGGAGACATGGAAAGACATTTGATCCAGATCTAAAACATCAACCATTGACTTGACCCACCATAGTTTCAAGGGAGACATTAAGAAGCAAATGTTCCAGGCAAAAACTACTCTTTTTTTAAAAATTGGGGAATTGGGGGAGGAGAACAGCCAGGTTGTTGTTCTTCAATCTTAGTTGTGGAGGGCGCAGCTAGCTCAGCTCCAAGTACAGCCGTGCCACGCTGCTCAGCTCAACGTGCTGTGTTCAATTAGTTGTGGGTGGGGTGGGCGTAGCCACCATCCCAGGCAGTAGTCGAACTAGCAGCCTCGTTAAGAGGGCACGCTCTATCCCCTGAGCCATCCGTGTGGCAGCTCAGCCCAAGGTGCTGAGTTCAGTCTTTAGTTGCGGGCCGACGTAGCCCACCATCTGGAACAGGCAACCTTGTTAGGAGCACGTGCTCTCACCAACTGGGCAGCTCAGTGGCAGCTCAGCTTGGGCGCAGCTTACTGGCCCATGTGGGAATTGAACCAGTGACCCTGTTGCTCAGAGCTCGCACTCTTGAGCAAGCTCTTAACCAAATGAGCCACTGGGCCGGTCCCCAAAAACTATTCTTTGACAACTAGGGTTTGGTCCTAAACTTGTATGCAGAACTCCTCACCATGGACTGAACTACATATTAACTACAAATATTGCTTTTACGATCATTGACTAATCTTGGCCAATAAGATCTTAAAAAATATATTCAAGAGAAGAAAAGCCAGTGTTTCTCCGGAAGGCCTACAGAAGTCAGCCCATACCAGCCACTCCAGGTTTGCTTTCCCCTGGCCACACCTTGGTGCCCGTGTAGCCTTCTAAGGATTTGGCAGGAAGCGTGGAGGCTAGGGATACTTCTAACCCAGGAGAAACCCAGGCTCATCTAACTGCTTTCTCGTGCAGTATTCTGAACGGGTTAGTAGAAGACATTACAACAATGATGGTCAGAACATTTAAGCTCTTTGACGGTCACAGGGATTGCTACACTTTCTATCAGGTTTACCTAATAGCATCCAGGCCCGAGGCTACTGGACAAACACCTACCTGGGGATGTGTGAAGTGGTGAAAGAAGGGGTGATAAAGGATGCTCAGGCTCCTCTCAGAAGCCCCAGTTACTGAGCCCCAGCTAGCCATTTTGGGAAGCCAGAGTCATTCAGAATAAGGACATTTAAGTAGCACTTTCAGCTCCGTAGGAAAAAATTCCAGACCAGATCTCAGGCCCCTGATTCTCACACAACTGCCCCTTTCTTCATATTTCGAATTCATTTAAAAGAAAAAAGAAAAAAAACTACACTTTTCTCCAGTTGTCTAACGATCAGGTACCTCCAAAGTAATAAATGCAGGTAAAAGACCTGCCTTCCGCCAAAAACATCAAGTTTCTCAACTCTGAAGACCAAAAGACTTGCCTTCTAACATCCCAGTCCCCTCAGAAAGCTGAATGATATTTTTAAATGGGTAATAATCCTTTTAACGATAAATAAAATTGGAACGTGTATAATCATAGAATTAGAGCAAACTGATGGAGTCTGGGGGAAGACTTTATATAAAACCCTAATTAGAATGAATGTGATTTTAGCTCCAGTGCCCCTTACGAAGAAGTAAAATCCATTAACCTCCTATATCCCCAAGTGTTATTTTAAAAGGTTTGGGGCATAATTAAAATAAATGAGTACCAAATAGGCTGTCAAGCTTTTTAGGTTTTCTCTATATCCCATCAGCCAATCTTCTGCCATGAACATAAAAGGGCTGAAGTTTTTGTTGAACCCCTTTATTTTTATATAGTGCTTAGGTCATATGGAGTGTTTGGAATTTTGAATGTTGAAAGACTGATGTATTTACCTATCAACATTCAACAAATTATTTGTTAGATACCTACTACATACCAGAAATTTTGCTAGGCCTTGGGATTTTATGGTAAGTAAAAAAGTAACAGGCTCTGTACTTTGCAATCTAATGGTAGACAAAGACATTAATCAAATCAGACAAGTGAATGCTTAGTTAGAAACTAAACAATCAAACAAACAAACAAACAAACAAACAAACAAACAAACAAAAAAAGCCACAAAGGAAGAAACATGGTTTTCTAAAGCTAATAATCAAGGAACCTGTCTTACGTTAAAAGGTGAGAGGGCCGGTTGAGTGGCGTGATGGTTAAGAACTGGCTTGGGACACCAGAGGTCCCTGGTTCGGATCCCACATATGAGGGCCAGTAACACTGCCCTCCACATCTAAGATGCTGAACAACAGCTCAACCTGGAGCTGGGCCGCCATGAGTCGCCAGTGACGGCGTAGGCTGCAGCCCCTGTGGCAGTGGGTTGCCATGGGCTACCGTATGTAGCCAGCAGCCAGCGTGAGCGGCCAGCAGCTGCAGTGAGCAGCCGTCCAGAAGCCGGCGACTGATCTGCCTCGCCCGGGAAGAGCGCAATGATGGTGCAACTTGGGCCAGTGAAGCAACGTCCTCCACAACTAGACTGAAGAACAAAACGACAGCAACTTGTCTGTTCCCATCCCCCCAATTCCCCAATAAAAATCTTTAAAAAAAAAAAAAAGGTGAGAGAAGGCTTTCCTGAGAAAATAAGGCTTGAGTAAACAACTACAATATTAATGAGAATAAGGTGAAGGTGGGGAAGCTCTACTCACAGGAAACAACATGTAGAAAGGCCGGGGGTCAAGGTGCCTCAACAGAAGAGCTAAAGAAAAGTGCAAAGCGCACGAAAGAGAAGCACCTAAGAGGAGGCTTAGAAGGCCTAGGTCAGAGGGCAGGAATCAGACAATGGAAATTCTCACAGGCCAAGTCAAGGTTTTGGTGTTTATCACAAAGCAATAGGAAGCTATGAAAGTATTAAAGATATGATCAGATATGAGCTGAGACATGCTTTTTGGAGAATGGGATGGAGGCAACACAGTGGGTGAGAACAGAGTAGCTGAGAAGCTATTTTATAGACCCGGAGAGATAATGGTGACTTGGACTGGGATGGTGGCAGTGGAGATGGAGAGAAGTACATGACTTAAGAGAAAATCAACAGGAAATGGTAATAGACATTCTCAGTGAGGATGGGGAGAAGTAAATATCAAGGATGACAGGGTGGATTGTGGTGGACTCACTGAAACAAGAAACAAAGGAAGAGGACCAAGATTAGGAAGAAAGAATATGAGTCTGGTTTTGGACATGGCAAAGTCTGAGATGTTTTTGAGATATTCAAGTTCCTCACATATATGGGACTAGAGCTCAAGAAAAGTAATCTGAGTTGGAGAAATATATAAATTTGTAGGTTATTTGTATGGAAATGGAAAATAAAGTCATAAAGGCGGATGAAATTGCCTAGAAGTAGGGTGCTGAATAAGAAAAGGGCTAAAGACTGACCTGTAAGGATTAGCAATATCTAGTGGCCAGACACAAGCAAGTAAGTCTGGAGGGGAAGAAGAGTGACTAGAAATGAAAGAGGAAACCCAGAAGAGTCTGGTGTCATGGAAGCCAATGGAGAAGGTGCATAAAGAAGAAAGGAGCAGTCGGTCAATAAATGCTGCTGAAAAGGTCGTGTGTGCTGAGGACTAAAAATGCATGCACATGTTGAAGTTAAACATTTACTACTAATAGGAAATTGTGTTTCCTATTAACTATACTTTATTTAGAAATGGGGTCAGAGTTTTTAATTCAGTTTTTCTCATAAAGGACTGGTAAAGGTCACAAAATTAAAATAAAAAATTAAACCCTATCAAATGAAAACATTGGCTATAACAAACATACATTTATAATTTTAAAAACATACGCTGGCTTCATTTCCTTCTGTATATCCACTTACACTCTTAAATGAATCAAACTGGGCTGTCTTCTCTATTGTAGAAGTTTATAATTAAGAGGACATCTTACTTAACTCGATGACTTTTTTCCCCCCTCCCTTTAATTTTGGATTCAATACCCTCTACGAATAATCATCTAAGAGGTTCCTGAAAGTATTCAGGCCCACATGATCTTTTATTAAATAGCCATCCCTACAAAATCCCAATATCGGGTCTACGTGACTAACATCAAATAATTCAGTGTAAAAATAATACATAGACACAGACATCAACGTGGTAATCTGAAAAGCTAATAAAACAAGAGCCTCACTTTCATTCTCTCTCTTACCCCGCTGCTCCCTGTTTGGTGCTGACAATCCCTTCTCAAGAGAAACCAATGGCAGAAAAGCCCAGGTGTTGCAAATAATATCTGTAGCCAGCTTCTTTCACATGACAAATATCCAAAAGAGAAGTTCACAAAGAATTCAACCTTGCAAAATTTATGAAACTTAGGTTTAGCCAAAAAAGGAATTTAAAACCATATACCTATGTCAATTCCTCTTCGGAGAATACTTTTGTCAGAGTCCTGATGACCAATCAGATCTTCCACCCAATGAATATAGTTGAGCCTCAAGGGAACTGTGGGAATTAGTCTCTCCAACGGAATATCAATAGAAAGTCCAAAATCTTCCTTTAGGAGAGTACAAGTCAGAGCTCTGACTGCTTCAGGGTCTTTAAAATTAAGACTGAGGGGTGGAGAAAAAAAAGTAAAATTGATTAGTAAGACTCGCTATGCTGTGCAAGCTCTATGGCAGCCAGTCAATACCAAACACCCATTTGAATTTCCTAGGAGATCACACATAATAACTGTGTAGAGTACGCAGCAGAGTGGCATATGCAAAGGGGTGTCCAACACTCTCATAGTATAGGACAGGCAGTACACATATCCACCCCAAACACTGCATTTTCATACATGAAGCACAGAGGACAAGAGTGCCTCCATTCCAATCCCTGCCTCACTGTCTCCTTACTTAGTTATGTAACTTAGGACAAGCTGAGCATTGTTTCTTTAGCTGTAAAATGGGAATAATGGTACCTACATCCTAGTGCTGTGAAAACCACTTAGCATAATAATGACTATTTTAGAAATGCTGGCCATTTTTACTATTATCAATTAACATGATTTGACATTAGCATTCTTTGAAAATCAAACTTATAAGTGGACAGAAAGCAGCAAAAATGTTTAATAATGAAAATAGGATGAATATACTTAAATATAACAAATGTTACAGACATCAAATTTTAAATGTGACTATTTTTAGCAGCTATACTGAGGTATAATTTACATACTATAAAATTCACTTAAAGTATACAATTCAATAGTTCTTAGTATATTCACAGAGTTATGCAACCATCACCACAGTCCAATTTTAGAGCATGTCCATCACCCCAAAAAAGAAACCTCATGCCCATTTGGAAGTCATTCCTTGTTTCTACCCTCAGTTCCAGGCAACCACTAGTGTCCTTTCTGTCTCCATAGATTTGCCTTTTGTGAACATTTCATATAAACGAAATCATAAACTATGTCTTCTTTTTGTCTGGATTGTTTCACTTAACCCAACGTTTATGAGGATCATCCATGGTGTAACGTGTATCAGTACTTCATTTTTTTATGGCTGAGTAATGTTTCATTGTACAGATAACCACATTTGTGGTTTGTTTATCCATTCGCCACCTAATGGGCTTTTGAATTGTTTCTACTTTTTGGCTATCATGAATAATACTGCTATAAATATTCACATACAAGTCTTCATATGAATGTGTTTTGATTTATCTTGGGTAGATACCTAGGAATGGACCATATAATATATTTAAGTTTAACTTTTTAAGAAACATGTGCCAATGTAACTATTCTGATGATGAAGTGCTGCTAAAGTGAAAATTTTAAAAAGAAAGCCAACAGATCATATTTATAAATAGGACAATGAAAAGAGAGCAGAAAGCTAGTAGATGGGACTGAACTACGAAAGGTAAAAAGAGCTTTAGAACTGTCTGCTCAAAATTCTGGTCTAAAGTTGTACGGTCAGACAACTGGCTATCCTCAAACAGCTTTTGATCTGTCCAATCTTCTTTTCTGTTCCATTCTGGGTCATCAAATGCCTAATCATTTTGAAAAGCTCAATACCCAATGCTTGAGTGCCAAGATAGGAGGAATGCTCTATCCACTAGGTTACCATGGAAAATTCAGGCAGGTGCCATGAACCCAAGCTCCTCTATTACCCACAGCAAAAATGTTCTAGTGTGGGAGTTCAGAAACTTAGACTCTTAATTTTGGAGAAATAATATAATCAAATAAAGTCATGTGGTTAAAAAAAGAGATGAAAAACCAGATCATGCAGTGTAAAGAAAAAAATGCAATCAAAACACAGTATAAAACAAATGTGAACTGAATACATGTAAATAGTAAACTCGTATTATAAGACTCAGATTAGACCATAACCAAAATTAACTATAATAAAGTATGCTATAAACAAAAACTACGAGTATGTCTAAAACAAAGTGATCCAGATCCAAGATGGCGGAGTAGATAAACACTGGGCCTGTCTCTTCCCATAAACACATTAAAATTACAACTAAATTATAGAACCATCAACCTGGAGAACCATCTGAATTCCGGCTGAACAGAAGTCCTATAACTAAGGATATAAAGAAGAAGCCACGTCAAGACTGATGACAGAAATGATGCTCAGGAGAGTAACTTAAGAGACCTAATAAAAGAGCTGCCAGATGCCCACTATGGCCTCCTCAAGTACCTGTGCCAGTTCTTGACAAAAGTAGCCAAGCACCATATGCAGAATTGCATGAATGTCCACAATCTTGCCACTGTATTTGGATCCAATTTCTTTGAAGTATACTTTTGTTTGGTGACTTACATGGAAGAAGTAAAGTGTGCCACCTGGGCTTGAAGACATGAAAGAACAAGAAGTCTGCAACATGATAATGGCTAAAATACTAGAAAATGATAATACCCTGTTTGAAGTTGAGTATACAGAAAATAACCAGAGGTGTGAAAACCGAGCGAAGCTCATCATAGTAAAAGTAGCCAGTTGTAAGAACTGCTTGCCTATCCTTCTAACAAAACACAGATAGAGACATGCAAAAACCAGCTCCATACACCAAGATCCCACAGTCTAGGAGTAAACGGTCTACTCAGGCTCACAGGCTCACAACCAGAGCTATCTGATGGCGTTCCTCAGGTCAGTGAAACTAATTAAAATTTAAAAAAAAAAAAAAGTGATCCAAAGATTGAAAATTAAAGCTTATGCAAAAGTATACCAGTCAACTTCAAGTCAAAAAGAATTAGCAGTCAATATCCTATAAGGAAAAAAAATAGCATTAAATGAGATAAAGAAGAAACTGCAGGAACGGTAAAAAATACAAAATGCTGGAACAGAGTTGGGAGAACAATAATGCCAAAGGTAACTGACTTTACATTTAGCCAGGAATTGATGATCTTTTAAAGACCAGTTTCTATAAAACAGTAGAAGTGGAAATTTATTGTGTAAATACATGCTAGCAATGAAAAGTCTCACTAAAATATACTGTCTATTTAAAGGGGTATTAAGTCTATTCCTAGACATCAGAAGTAGAGAAATATTAATTTTGTCATTTGTGGGTGTTGATAAAAGAGAGCTAATCCATGGGCAAGCAACTAGGAACCCATTTCTGCTTCACTCAGTTACACAGCAATTGCTTCAATAAATTTTCACATTAAAAAAAAAAGAGTTGCACTACCTTTGTATTTCTTCCTCAATTAAAAGCAGTATACACTCAGGTTCAACAAGCTAAATGATGTAAAGCAATGACAAGATATGGAATCTATAAAAACTTTATTTCATTTTTAATTCTAACAAGAATATTATATTTTTACTCCTATGAAATCAGTCAGTCAAGCATGTGAAAAAGACAGGCCAACTCCATTTCTTCAGTGACACAGCAATGAGAGTCTATTTTTACACATGGAAAGAAGTTCACATCTGAGTACCATACTAAGGTATTCAAGTAAATTTACATTCTTTATTCTATAATAGTCCCATCTATTTCTAAATTTCATTGCTAAACACAGAAAAGAAATATATCCCAATATGTCTATGTTCAAAGCCTTAAAATCTGAAATGTAAAATTTCAGAATTTTTCTATCAAAGGAACTACTGGGTTGTTGGAAAAGTCATGATGTATTTTTGCAACAAAAAACAGAAAAATAGGTCATGACTTTTCCAACAACCCAACAGATACCTTATAAAATAAAGTTGAACAATATTACCTAAAAGCAGTACATATTGACTTAATTACTGTCCTACAACTTCTGAATGTTATTTTGCACTGGGATTTTAAATAAAATTGTGAACATCAGGGATTGTGAACTCAAATATTTACAAAGTGCTACTCAAAATGCCAGTCCCTGACAAGTCATGGAGTTTGGGCTAGAACGTAAATTAAAACACGGAAGAAAGTCACGCAACCAAAAGGTCTGCCAAAGTAAATGTGTGGTGTAAAGTCTTTATCTCTGTGGAGAGTAACAAAGAGTTTGTGGCTGAGCAGCCAATTCAGTGACCACACTTTCAGTAGCACTATGCCAGATGACACCAATGACCATTTCAAAGGGTATGACCACCACTCCGTTCTAGGTAATAAATGTCAAGTGGGTTTGCCTGCCCAGTTTTGTCATATCTCTAAAATTCTCAAATGAACCAGCCACCTGTAATTTTATATGAAATTTCCCCAATTCCTAAAATCTATGTGGGTAATAAGCAACTGTAAGCCTATACAACTCAGAGGCTGACAAGCTGTACCCCCTATTGTAAATAGAATTTTTTTAAAAAGTTGGGGTACTGGGCCGGCCAAGTGGCTCAATTGGTTAAGAGTTGGCTCGGGAGCACGAGCTCTGAGCAGCAGGGCCGCCAGTTCGGTTCCCACATGGGCCAGTGACGCTGCGCCCTCTACAGCTAAGATTGTGAACAACAGCTCGACCTGCAGCTAGGCTGCCGTGAGTGGATGGCGACAGCGTAGGCTGCAGTGGGGCTGCAGTGGGCTGCCGTGAGCTACCATGAGTGGCCGGCAGCCAGCGTGAGCCGCCATTAGTGGCCGTCCAATGGCCGGTGACCAACTGCCTCAGCCAGGAAGAGCGCAATGATCATAATACCAACATGGGCCAGTGAAGCAACGTCCTCCACAACTAGACTGAAGAACAAAAGGACAGCAACTTGACTGTTCCCCTTCCCCGATTCCCCAATGTTGTTCCCCTCCCCCAATTCCCCAATAAAAATCTTAAAAAAAAAAAGATTGCTGGGGTACTTGGCCACTTCCACACTTTAAAAGATAAAGCATAAAAATGTTTCATTCTCTTTGGAGTTATATAGAATAGGTTAGAATTTTTAAGAAGCGACAGCTAGCATTCATTCCTTTATTCATTCAGCAGATATTTATTATGTGTCAGCTATGTGCCAGGCATTGTGTAAAATGCTGGAGATATTGCTGTAAGCAAATACAGACATAACCTCTCCTTTCATGAGGCTGACGGTCTGGTAGAGGGTAGGTATTACCTCAAAAATCACTCAAACACATGTAAAGTTGTCACTGTGACAAATGCTGTAAAAGGTAGGTACAAGGTGCTATGAAACCTACGTAATAAGTGGAACTGCCTTAGGAAGGTCGGAGAAAGCTTCTCTGAGGAGGTAACCGAGCT